AATTTAATATAAGTTTGGATTTACAAAAGGAACTGTATGCAGAGTATATCTAAAATAATGAGGTTGTTTGCCCAACCTTTTCTTAATTTAAGGACAAATAACATATCAAAAGTTGGCAGTTGATGATTAAAATGGTGTATAAAGTTTCTGCAAGTCATAGAAACACATCATAATATACAAAATGTACATGTATCATTCATTTGACATGATTACTGTGATATCCAGTGGCAAGTGTTTCATAAATATTCAGTAAACAAATTTCAAATAATTCTTATAGTTAGGCATGTATGGGTTTTGCTCATTGTTGAAGTCTGTACAGTGACATATAGTTGTTAATTTCTGTGTCATTTGGTTTCTTGTGGAGATTTGTGGCAATCATACCACATCTTCTGTTGTTTTACAAAAATAAAAAGGCCAGATATTTAACTGGCACAGGAAAATGTTTACATGTTCCATAGGGGTACATGTTTTGCCTTGCAAAAGTCTGTGCTTAAGCCACTAGCCCAATATCCGGGTCTGGTAAAAATTGATAAAAATTTAGTGAAATTATTTTTAGGGTCTTGCATGTATGAAGGAAAAATATTAAAATTTCTTGCACAGACTGCAATGGGCATTGAGCCTGAGAACCTTAAATAAAACTGTTCAATGGGTATATTAACTTGCTGCAATACTTTTTTCCAAACACATGGAATTTATCGTCCCAACTTCCACTTGATGTAGCTGTGCATGCCTCTTATTTAAATGACACTTATCCCCCTTTTTTTTTGGGGGGGGGGGGGGGGGGAATTGTTCCTACCGTTACATAGAGAAACTGGGACCAATATACACCAAGGTCTTCTGTTGTGGACGTGTTTTGAGGATCACTGCCTCAAACTGCTATTTTGTACGACTTTTTGAGCCCCCTGGCAAGGGAGTTTCAGTTCCCCTTGAGTTTCACATCATAAAAACACAACTTGTACAAACCTATCTTCGGGAAAATAGAGTAAATTACTTTACTTTTATCTTCAATACCGACAACAAACGAGCAGCATGTTTATTGTTCACTTTAACAGCTAAGTTGCTTTTTCAATTGTTTTCGCTAGAGTTGTGAGTTTGACATAAAAACAAGGGCCCAGCGGCCACTTCAAAAGCCTGCCCATTTGTGGGCGATTAAGTGTCGTCCATAAAATTTATGCCACACGAGTCGGGCGAGTTTCGGTTATCTAACTTTCAATTTGGGCAACTTGAAATTACTCCACTCACCTGTACCGTGGCTTTCTGTGACACACTACCATCTTCGAAGCGGCGTAGAGGAACAACAATGCGTAACTGCGGATGCTCGAGATCGTTCATTTCAAAAGGTAAAATTAGCCCATACCGGACGGTATTGTCAAGAATTTCAATAACGGCCGGGTACCAGTCTATGGTTTGGACCGCCTATATGGGCGGGATTATTACGATGACCAACAGATAAAATGCATAGTATATTTAGATGCAGACAATGTGTTTTGTAAAGATAAAAACTGTTTTTTGAATCAGAACTGTAATAATTTAACACTTAAAAGTATCACATCATGTAATTTTGTTATATTATACTTACAAAACGCCGAGTTTATCTGGAAATGACATAAATTCAACTTGTAATGGTGGACGAAAAACGACTAACGAGATGCATCACGGTAAATCTCGCAAAATCTCATCATACTCAGCTTATTTCAATACAGGCAATGAGATTCCAATCCTTCTCACTATACAAATCCTTGTTGATATTTATTGAATAAATTTTAATTAAAAAATTGCGTCATATATAAAACTTCAAGAAAAATACAAAAAAAATATTTTCAAAATAAGTGTTTTCTTGTTCAAAGAAAATTAATGTTAAAACTGAATTGTGACTTTTTGTCCTGTGACTTTTTGTCTGTGACTTTTTGTCCTTGACTTTTTGTCCTGTGACTTTCTGTCCTACATTCGAGAAAACGTATATATAGATGTGTTTAAAAAGGCCAATTCCCAGTTGATTTATTTCACACTAGGACCACAGGCACTTGTGTCAGAATTTTGTTTCCTACATACCTAATATAACATTAAAAGTATATAGGAGTTATTTTTTTTGAGACAAGTGCCTGTGACTAGGACCTAAGATAACTACAACTAAGTTCATTGGAAAGTATTTTTGTCTGATACATGTATATCAATTGTTAACGTACATACAGCTTCAAATATATGCCTATACGGTACGTCTAGAAACCGCTCAGGACCTCCTGAGTGCAGACAGGACATAAAAAGTCACTCAGGACATGTATACATGTTTTAGTGAACGTTGAGGGTATGCATTCGATAGATAATTTAATTTTTGATCTTATAATTTTGGTTTTGATAAAATCAAACCAACATTAAAGTAGTTATTTAAGTTAAATTTGTATCGACACGCGCCGTTATTTGGGATACGTCATGCATGACCGATGGTCATATTCAATACCAATCATCATTTTGATTAGGTCGTTTGATCTTTAATAATTAGGACTGATTATAAACATATACAAGTAAACTTTGCAAAAAAAAAACAACGTTTCCTTGAAAAAATTATAAAAATACATGAATATTGTTTTTACAAATAAGTTAAATAAATTTTTCGTTTTGTATGTAATAATTGAAGCCATTTAGAAATATAAGAAATCTTCACAAAGTCGGGAAATTTTCAATTAGATCTTATTCGATGTAAAATGTGGCGTCCTTGGAGAAAAACCCCGTTTAAATAGGGTTTGTCTACTTTCGTCTATTGCCGAATATAATATAATGAATCGCGTCGCCAATACCACCACAATTACGTAAAGTACAAATACAATCTTCTACATATTTGGCATCTAACAATTTCAATAGGAAATTTTGAGTCGAAACTGAAGTACCAAATCTACAAAAAGAATCACTATTTTTTGTAGTAGTAGGCGTCGACAACTTAACTGTTTATAATCTTTTTTTTCTCCTAAATTAATTGCAACTCCTGAAAAAAATTAACATTATCTATAGACAGCTTTCAAATGCAAATCATTAGAAGTATGCGAGTGTACAGTAATAATTTGTTCATTACCCCCCCTTTTTCCTTCTATAAAATTACATTGTAATCGATTTTATTTCCTTTGTGTTTGCTAGGATTGACACTTAGAACGTACAACAAAAAGTAACAAGTAAAAAGTCACGATTCAGTTTTGGAATATTTTTTTCTTTGAATAAACTTAATTTTAAAAACGTTTCAGTATTTTTCTAAAACATTTTTAAAAGGAAACGGACTTGTAAACAAAATTTATTTTTTGAATATTAATATTGAACAATGATTGTTAAGAAAACAATCTGCCAAAGTGGTTTGGTAATTAACTGGCTTCATGTTATCAAAAATGTCTCCTTTTTATAAGTTATTGATAAAAAATCTATTTGAAGGCGAATTAATCATTTCCTCAACTAAATACATTTATCTATAAATAAAGTCAATTCGTCAAGAACTTTCTCTCATATATTTAAACAATTGTAAAATAATTAATTTAAACTTTTGTACTGCGACTTTCTGTGGTTTTACCAATACTTATTCCTTGTTAAGTTTTTTCATATCCATTGCTCTTAATATATTCGAATACTTATAGTGTGATAATTACTAGTCACAATTTTTTCCGGATGCTTTTTATCCTATTTTCATATCAAACAACCATGTTACCCGTAGAGCGGAGTTAAGTACAAATTTAGGAATTTAGCACTTAAAATTTTCAACAACAAAATTTTACACTTTCATTTACCTGGATTTTTTTCTACGCTTCGAAGCCGCCACCCTGTATCAAACATAGCCAACATCTCGCATGGTGTATTCACGATGTTGAGGGATTGACAATATACAGTCAAAGATAGCAATATACAGCAAGTAAATAATTGGGTGTTGAATGCCAGTAGATCTGAATTTGTAAATTTGTAAATTGAATTTAACCTGTTTAGAACGTGTATTGTTGAATTGTTTAATAAAATTACACACATAAATACTAAAAATTCAATTTTTAAACATCTAAATCCATATGTTCAGCAAAATATTGAAGAATGTGTCCACCAAGTATTTAGTATCCAAAGATGTTTATTCTAACAGAAACTTCACATATAGTATTGTGTTTTGTTTATTGTTTTTTTTTATTCATCTACTTTGCTCAATACAAATACTAGCATATGGGACAAATCTCCATGATTTTAAAAGCTCTCACGGCGTACAAAAAACGCAAACGACAATGTTTAGTCTTCATTCGACTAGAAGTTAAACAAATAGTTGACCAAAAAACCACAACAAAAATGTACATTTTTTATTACGGTTGTGATTGTTTTGAAACGCTATAAGTGCCGGATCTTCCGGGGGCTTCGCCCCCTGCCCCCCTACCAGGGCAAAGCCCTACTGGGGGCATAGGCGGCCCCCAGACCCCTCGCCCTTTAGTTTGTGATTCCACTTCATTAAGAAGGTAGCTACGCCCCTGATTCTAAAATGTTAAACAGTTACACCAAATAGTTAAAATAGTTTCTTTTCCACATTTTTACGCAATTCGACTTTTGTAACTCGCAACTCGACTTTCTTAACTCGCAACTCGAATTTCTTAACTCGCAACTCGACTTTCTTAACTCGCAACTCGACTTTCTTAACTCGCAACTTGACTTTCGTAACTCGCAACTCGACTTTCGTAACTCGCAACTCGATTCTCACAACTCGCAACTTGATACTCGACAACAAGTGAATCTCCGTCAAAACGGTCAAATGATTTCTTATAGGAGATATCGCCTTAATATGACAAATTTTACTACTTTCAATGTTTGCCTATTATATTGAATTATTAAGTAGATAGGTAACTTTTAATAGCAAAACTTACCAGCAATTTTAAAGGGAATTTTGAAATTAATTAACACCGTACTTTTAACAGCATTTTTAACTGCAAAACGCGCACTCTCTCGCTCAGCTGTAGTGGAATATTGTCCGGAATTGTTTCACACGTTTTGAACCGGAAGTTGTGGAATTTATTTGCCATTTAAGGTAGATCAAAGGTATATATTTCTTGAGATAGAATTTTCTTATACTTTGCCAAAATGAAGATTTTACTTTGCTTTTTTCAAAAATATAAAGTTTGGGTCACCGTGCTATTTTCCAAGCTATGAGTCGTTGAAAATTGCCTAAATTTGGTTAGATTGTTCATGAAAAAACACATTTATGTGCATAAAAAAAAATCTATGAGATAGAATTTTGAAATAAATTGTGAGAAGATAGGTTTTATAATATGTTTTAAGAAAATAAAAAGAAAAAATGGTGTCGCCGAACTTGTTTTCTTGCTACAAGTAAAAATTAAAAATGTCCCTATCAGCTAGTCCAGTATATAATTTTTACTAAAAGAGTTATCTCCTCTTAAATGGCTTATTTAAAATGATTCTAAAATCACAAAATTTGATATTTGTTTAAATATTTTGAGTTATACAATAAATCATCAAGTTTTCTTTATATAAATAAACAGTCTAACCAATAAATTGCAAATCTGTCTCCAAATTTGCAGATTTGGGCAAATATCTAGACCGATTTTGTACTGGGATTGTACAATCCAAGATGGCGGTATACCATGAATCTACCTTAATCATTTTTCACTTTCACTTCACTTACTTATAGGTGGCACGGTAGTATTTCCTGGCCCATAAGGGATAATGATAGCCTTTTTAGAATTTTCACCACTTTCTAACACTGCCAAAAATTCTACATTCACAGTTAACTGAAGTACTTTCATTTTACTATTCAGAAATGAATTTGAATGTGTATCATGACCGTTTACTTTTTTTGCTATTTTTAAAAACCTAAGGCCACTAGTGCATTTAGGTCTTTTATTGTGCAGTGAATACAAAATTAAAAAAAATTCTCAAAAATTCATTTTCATCTGTATGTAAAATTATTTCATATTTTCCTACACCTGACTCATCCCTCAGTTTGGGAAAGTTACTAATGTTCAGTTGATACTGTATTTTTTGTCAATCACACTGTTCGGATACATTGACTTAAGTAACAAAAGAGCAACCTAAATTCTGGAATGCAAATTCTACCGCGCTACCTATAATCCCCTGTAATTTATACAATATATTTGGTTTACAGTTTGATTCAGAAGAAACACCGACATAGCTAGATATTACAATTAATTATCTAATTACTACCACAATTTGATATTAATAAGTATTGTAATTTTCATTGTTATTAATAAATTTAATGTCAGTATTACAAATCTATTATCTTGAATCAATCCTAATCCTATCTTATTTTTGGGAAATATTTTTACAAATTCAAATGTGACGTCACTTTGTGTTTTTTTTAGAATTTCAAATGTGACGTCACTTTGTGCGTTGAGGCTTTGGCTAACTCGGCTGTGTATTTTTATGTATTGGATTAAAGGGAAACTCCGCAAAAAAATGAAAAATTGATATTTTGTTCTTTAAGCATAAAAAACAACATGTTCATAAATAAAAAACTTTTATTCTCTATGTAAAGAGATCAAAATCGATTTTTGAAATTCACTATCAGTTCTCGACATATCGCCATCTTGTCGGCATGTTCGATCTAAAAAGTCACGTGATATCTATAAACCACAAAGAACAAAAAGAATCGGGGATTTACCGACCGTGCGTTAAAAACTCCCATCATCAATTGGGGATTACCGTAGACGGTTATTCAGTGTCAAAATGTCTTGTCAAGCGTAAGGTTGTTCTGTCAGACAAAGTTATGACAAAAGTCTACATAGTTTTCCCAATCCCACAAAAAAAGAAAGAATTGTATCAGACATGGTTGTACAACCTTAAACTAACAGCAAATAGTTGCATCTATAGCAAGCACAAGTTGGTGTGTGAAGACCATTTTGAACAATATTGTTTCGAGGGAGATTCGATGGTAATTATCCTTTTTTAATAACAAAATAACCTAGCAGTTCTGATAGCTATAGTTATCAAATCCTTATATGATAAGATTTCATTGAATAAAAAAAAATATAGATTTGATGAGGAATAACAGTTTTAATTATAAGAAAGACAAATGCAGTGTTCTTGTAACAATCACTGATTTACAGAAGATTCATTAGTATGCCTCTTTTATATAATGTGCATTGATTTGTATAAAGAATAGTTCCGTATTAAGACGAGATAATTTTTCAATAAATAAAGTTATACGATATAGAATAACATTTTTTTAATTATGATATTTAACGGCTATTGACAAGGAGCAATGTTAGGAAGAGGTTTAAGCTGGGACATAATATGTTGCTATAGTATAATGTTCCCAGGTTATAGATATGTAAATATCGAAATATCGGACATCTCAATTTTTTTATTAAAGTGGGTCTTTTTAACTAATCTTTAAATTATATCAAATTGATACGGGATCAATTCGGAATGGTCACTTATAAAGACACTTAGCTTTACAGTTAAATGTGTGACTCTATCTGGTATGTTCGGTGAAAATATTATAGGTTTTTTTTCTTTTTAAATTTTATTTACGTTATCTTATTATATATATATTTTGGCGTCCTCCCGAATTGATAATAGGTATGTCAGAATTATTGATAGATGTCGTGTCAGAGCGACACATTCAGTTAGGTATTCCAGGGACGTATATTAGATACACGTCCCTGGGTATTCCAGTGACATCCTGTCAACTAAAAATTCGTATTACACAATTATATAATACAGGTTCATGCATGGCCTCTTTATTGAGGTACCCGCTGTGCACAGGTAACATTTATTGAACCATATATTTGTGTCTAACGTTGTTTATCTTGTGTGTGTTTGAAATTATAATTCCACCTTTTAATGAATGATGTTCTGATAATAATATTATCCACTATTTTTGCTGATAATAAGTTTAAAGAAAATTATAAACATGACCTTTGAACATTTTTGTGAAATGAATATTGTTTTGTCATGATTCTGGACCATATTTTTGACAGAAAAAATTCTTCACGCAAATACAAGCTTTTGTTGATTGGCAAACATGCAGATATTTAAAGTAATGCAGCACTTATAGTCACTATCAATATTAATTCATTGAAGATAAGAGAGCCCCTTCTATGTCTAATGTCCCTATCTTTATAAGGATTTGGACGACAGGGGGAAAAAGGAGCGGAGATAGAGTGGCATAGTGAAAAAAAAATACCGAATAGAGAACAATATAGAGAATGATCGACAAAAAGCGAAATAGTTATTGTAAAGGAGCGGAGATAAAGAGAGGCATAGTGAAAAAAAATGTTTGCTTGACAAATTAAGTTATTGCTCGCTTTGATATTTTTAGTTATACAAAATCACACATCGTGTTCCTAATTGGTATTCACGTGCACTAACTTGATGCTGGGAACAGTATATTAATATATATGTTCCTGCTTGATGTGTTAGGTTTCTTCATAGCATGGTTAAAAATAATTAGTATCCCATTTGTTATATCGTAGTGTCACGGTGTTATTTTGTTAAATTTATTTAGTTTGTTAATGATTGTGTAAATAAGAATAAATCTGTATAAAAACTTCATACCATTTTAGTGATTGCCTATAGGCGTTTGATTATTGTTACATTTAAGATATATATATATATATATATTTAGAACCGTTCATACATCTTAAAGTAAAAGACCCACCAAATCAATACAAACGTATGGTAAGATATAACCATGCAGGCATTTAGTTTTCGTCAGGCATAAGATAAATAATCACTCTCATAAACGTATATATGCATGCAGTTTCAAATATCAAGAACAAGCGGTCGATGTCTATAGATCATTGTTAAATCCGTTTACTAACTGTTCAGAGTCAGACATGTCAATAGTTCATTCTTGGAACCTTCATATACCCCATCCTACGATGGGAACTCTTTCTGATAGTGTTGACAACATAAGCTTGTTTATCTGTACAAGTGGTTGCATGGCCTTTCCTTCCCCAACAAACAAAAACGCTACTAGTCTGCTATCTCTGGAGCTCATCCTTAATGGCGCTTATACGTCAGGAAACTTACAAGTATACTAGTAAAGATTGTTTCAAGAACAACGAGGTTAGGACGAACTGTTCTAAAATCGTCAATATCAGTAATACATTACTAAGATATGTCTTTAATTACAACAACTGTATTACTAATTTGGATTAATGACGGCTATCCTAAAAATAATCCTCAAACAAATTAATGTATTAGCTTAGATTTATAATGTATGTATATTGCTTAATGAAATAAACGATAATTGGTATTCTTTTCACAAATAATTTGTGCAAGTGATTGTCAAATGAATTTAATTATGTAAGAATGAAATGTTAATAAGAAAATTAAAAAAATCATGCATGTTATGCTGTTGTATTTTTTCAATTAACTTGAAACTTTAAAATTGCGATGGTTTTACGTTTGTTAGCATTTAAACATCGCCAGATTTAAATACAAGTTAAAGAATTCCGGTAAAGTAAATTAAACAGATGTGCAATGATTATTAATTGGGAAATATAACATTTAATTTTTAAGATTAAATTACTATTCTTTTAACTTCATATCTTAACTTTATGCTAATTGCATAGAACGTAACCGAAAATTGTTCCATTTTAATATTGTAACACTTCCGGAATTAAAAAGTTGAATGTTAATTTTCAATTAATTTATACAATTTAATTATTGTTTCTCTATTGTCATCGGGTATTTCACCTGGGTATATTAAACACGCTATACTCTTTCTGTTAATCCATTCAAAATGACAATATACACTCCTGTGTACGCTTGAATTCACACCTGTGTACGCCTGAGGCTAAATTGCTGCAAGGTAAAGTTCAAACGAATTCTCCTCAAATCGAGAAATAAACAACGACTTTACAAAATAATATACACACTCTGTTCACAAATATTTTGCATTGAAATGGTTATCAAAGTTATAACGGTAAATAAAACTTAAAATATTTTCAGTTCAATATCAGTAAAAATGTTCTATAGATATTTTATGAAAGAATCTCAATAATTTATGAAATTAATTCGAAAATATTTATATTTAGATAACTTCATATAGG